GTCTGTTTACCCTACACACCGCTTCCCCCCCGGTTGGTGCGTCCTCCCAGGTCGCTGCAGCTTGCTCGTGTCGGTCCCTCACTCACCCGTCCCTTCTCTGGCACCACCGCTTAGGTCACCCTGCTCTCCCGCGTCTGCGTCACATGTCCCAGCACGGTCTTGTCTTAGGTCTCCCCGCGTCGCTCCCTGCCCTTCCTCCCTCGACTGCGCCACCGTGCACGCCTTGCGTCGAGGGTCGGCTCCGCCGTGCTCCTCACTCCTCCTCGCTGCGTCCTGCTACTGCCCCCCTTCAGACCCTGCACTTGGACGTTTGGGGCCCTGCCCCCGTCCCCGGACCGCGCGGTGAGCGCTACTTCCTTGTGCTCGTTGACGACTACACGCGCTACACCACGGTGTTTCCCCTGGAGCGGAAGGCCGACGTGCCCGACGTTCTTCTCCCGTGGGTTGTAGCTGCGCGTCTCCACCGCGGTCTCCCCGTGTTGTGTCTCCACTCCGACCGTGGCGGCGAGTTCGCCTCTGGTCGGCTTGGACAGTTCTGTCGTGCGGAGGGCATCACCCAGTCGTACACCTTGCCGGACTCGCCACAGCAGAATGGGGTTGCTGAGCGCCGCATCGGCTTGGTCATGGAGGTCGCCCGTACCTCCATGATCCATGCCGATGCCCCCCATTTTCTGTGGCCGTTCGCTGTTCGCTACGCGGCTCACCAGCTTAACCTGTGGCCACGCTCCCAGGGCCGCAGGTTTCGCCGACCCTCCTTTGGACCGGGTCCCCCGGTGACGCGTCTGCGTTCCACGTCTGGGGCTGCCTTGCTCACGTTCGTGCCTCTGGCACGGACAAGCTCACTGCCCGCACTGTCCCCTGTGTCTTCCTCGGTTTCCCCCTGGACTCGTCTGACTGGCTTTTCTACCACCCGCCGTCTCACCGCTTCCTCCACTCTCGTGACGTCACCTTTGACGAGTCCGTCTCCTTCTACCGCCGCTTCCCTCACCGAGGTCTCCCAGTTGCCCCCCCCCTTTTCCTTGCTCCCTCTCCCCCGGTAGCCCCTGCCCCTCTCCCGCCTCGTCCTGCCCCGTCTGGTGTCTCCCACGTCACTCCCCTCCCGTCGGTTGTCCCCGTTGAGGAGTCTGCTGACTCTGGTGGTACCCCCGGTCCGTCCTTGCCGCGTCCCCCTTCCCCAGTGCCTCCGCCCCCACTGTCGCAGTCGCCGACCCCGCTGCCGCCGCCGTCGCCGTCGCCGCCGCAGCCGTCGCCGCTGTCGCCGCCACTGCCGCCGCTGCTCTCGGCCCCTGGGGGTGCTGGTGTGGAGGAGGGTGTTCGTCCTGCGGCTTCTGGGGGTGCCGCTGGTGTTGGAGGGGGTTCTCGCTCTTGGGGTGTTGGTTCTGGGGGTGCTGCTGTTGAGTGTTCTGCCGACGGTCGTTCTGCCTCTGCTGGTCCGAGAAATCCGGCCCAGCCGTCGTCGCCGCCACAGCAGCCGTCGCCGCCGGTTTCCGCTCTCCGCCTGCTCAGCCTTCCCTCCCCGGACCGCGCGCCGGTGTCTCCCCCACCGCCTCCTGACCTCCCTGTCTACGGTCCTGTGTTCCCGCCGCCAGACTCGTCTCCGGCCCGTCTTCCTCCTCGTTCCCCTCCTGTGTCTCCTCCGCTGTCCCCTGACCCTACCCCTCCGTCTCACGTTTGGGCTCGCCGTCCCTCCCGTGCCCGTCCCGTCTCTCCTGTCCTGCCCACCCACCCTATGTTGCTCCGTTCCCACTCGTCTCGTCCTCCCCTCCTCCCGTCCCCTCCTCCCTCGTCCCTTGCTGTTGCACCTCCTCCGTTCTCTGACTACCTCCGTGCTGCTCGTCCCCTTGTCCCTCGGGTCCTTGCCTCTCTTGTTACCGACCCTGCTGTTCCTGTCTCGCGCCTTGACGCGCTTGTCGCTGCTGTCGCTGACTTCGCTTCTACCCGCCGCCTTGACTACGCTACCGCTCTGGTCTCTGACCCTGCCCGTCCTCTGTCCGTCGGGGGTGCTCCTGCCCTTGGCAGTGACGTCCTAGAGGACAGGCAGTACGAGCTGGCTTTCCTTTCCGAGGCTGCTCCCCATCTCTGCTCCATGCTGTTAGTCCCTGAGGGTGACCCAGACGCCTTCGACATCCCGACCCCTCGCACCTACGCTGAGGCCACCTCGGGACCTTGGGCCTCTCAGTGGATAGCTGCCATGGAGCAGGAGATGGCATCTTGGAGATCCACCGGCACTTACGTCGACGCAGTTCCCCCGCCTGGGGTGAACGTAGTCGATGGTCGGTGGCTCTTCAAGGTGAAGCGCCCCCCTGGAGAGCCGCCTGTCTTCAAGGCGCGCTACGTGGCCAGAGGTTTCAGTCAGCGCGAGGGGGTTGACTTCTTCCAGACCTTCGCCCCGACCCCGAAGATGACCACTCTTCGGGCGCTGCTACACGTAGCAGCACAGCGTGACTACGAGCTTCACTCTCTCGACTTCTCTACTGCCTTTCTTCAGGGCAGCCTACACGAGCAGGTCTACCTGCGCCGACCACAGGGCTTCACTGGTACCTTCCCTCCTGGGACCCAGTGGCTTCTCAGGCGCCCGGTCTACGGCCTGCGTCAGGCTCCCCGCGAGTGGCACGACACGCTACGTGCCACGTTAGCAGACCTGCAGTTCTTTCCGTCCTCTGCTGACCCTTCACTGTTTGTGCGTTCCGGCCAGACTCCGTTCTACATCCTTGTCTACGTAGACGACCTGGTCTTCGCTACTCCTGACAGGGACGCACTGGCCTCTGTGAAGGCTGAGCTGCTGAAGAGACACACCTGCACTGACCTTGGAGAGCTGCGTCGCTATCTTGGCCTGCAGATCTCTAGGGACAGAGCAGCACGCACCATCACTCTGACCCAGTCACACTTGGTGCGTCAGGTCCTTCAGAGGTTCGGTCTTCAGTTCTCCTCCGCACAGCCCACACCTCTACCCGTAGACCATGGGCTCTCTGCTCCCGTTCCTGAGGAGCCAGTAGAGCCCAGTGGCCCCTACGCAGAGCTGGTGGGTTGCCTCATGTACCTGATGACTTGCACTCGCCCAGATCTCGCATACCCTCTCAGCATCCTGGCTCGCTTTGTGGCTACAGGCAGACACCGACCTCAGCACTGGTCTGCCGCTAAGAGGGTTTTGCGTTATCTTGCTAGTACATCAGGCATGGGGTTAGTGCTAGGAGGACGCAGGCCAGTGGTCCTTACTGGGCACACAGACGCTTCTTGGGCAGACGACGCTGAGACGCTCAGGTCGTCGCAGGGCTATTGTTTTAGCCTTGGTTCGGGTGCTATCTCTTGGAGATCCACTCGCTCGTCGTCTGTGGCTCAGTCTAGCTGTGAGGCTGAGATCTACGCTGGTGCCATGGCGGCACAGGAGCTCCGCTGGCTGACCTTCTTGCTCACAGACTTAGGTGAGCGGCCTAGCTCTGCCCCGGTCCTGTACGCTGACAACAGGGCCATGATACTCCTGTGTCAGGAGCCTCGGCTTGAGGGCAGAGCGAAGCATATCCAGCTGCGGTACTTCCTCCTGCGCGAGCTACAGCAGCGCCGCCAGGCCCGCGTAGTTCACTTGGCCTCAGGTGCCAACACAGCTGATATCTTTACTAAGGCGCTTGCGCCTAAAGATCATCAGCGGCACTGTGTACAGCTTGGTCTTGTTCCTATAGCTGCTCCCCTGTTAGGATCCTGATTGTGTACTCTCTATTATATATGCTTGTCAGACTGGCCTTGTGGCCTTACCTCCAGTGGCTGGACTAGTAGTGCCACCCTGGCTTGCTTCAGTTTTGGTTGTATTCTTGCTGACTGGTCTCCAGACCCCTGCCTCAGTGGTTGGACTAGTAGTGCCGCCCTGAGCTGTTTGCTTCTTGTTTAGTTTCACCCCTTGTCTAGCCTAGGGGGTGTGTCAACTTATACATATTATCTATGTAGAAGTTATAGGCTAGACTGAGGTATGCTTCTAGTGAGTACAACCAACTAGTATTTGTTCTAGGTTTCCACCTCTAGTAATCATTCGTTTCTACGTTAACAGTATACAGCAACCAGTTTCAGACGAGCAGAATCGCTAAGTCTGAAACGTCAGAAGAACAAGTACATAGTTCCTGGAAAATCAGAAGAACTAAAATTCAATTTCTAAGGCATCAGAATTTTTATCTTAGGACTTCTGAAAAATCAGAAGAATCCGAAAAATCGCGTCTGAAAATAAGACAAACAGACGGATTTTGTCTGCTAAGGAGGACCCTGCCTGCCGCCCGAGCGCCTGCCACGGGCGTGATTCTAGACCACGCCCCATATACCCCCCCCCCCCCTCCTTCCCGTGCGTCCCCTCTTCCTTGCCACAGCCGTCGACTGCCTCGTGAGGGCCGTCCCATAGCCGTTATGAGATTGGCCATGCCGCCGAGAGGGTGGGGGCCGCTGCAGCCACCCCTGACGTTGAAGCTGCCGCCGTCGCCGCTGTTGCCGCTGGCCAGTTGCCGCCGCACACCACCGCCGTTGCTCTCGTCACTACTGTGCCTGCCGCCATTGCCATCTCACGGGCCGTGGGTGTTGACCGATTCCGGAGTCATCGCGGCTGCTGCTGGATATGGGGGTGCTAGGTTAGGGGGTGTGGGTGTGTGTGGGTTCTTCTACTACCAAGCCTAGGGGGCGTGTTTAATTATATATATGTTATATAATTATAGGCTTTGTAGGCATTTTTAAACCTACTGTAGAGGGTACAACACCCCTCCCTCTCTTCTAGTCTCGCCCTTTTTTCTCTCGTCAACTTTCTCCTTCCTAAACCTCACGCCATTCCATGGGTTCCCTCCTACGTAGCTTAGTTTATTCCCTTGTATGCCTTGTTCTAGTTTATTCTCTTGTATGCCTTGTATGACTAGTAGTGCAGCTGCAAAACAAGTTTGTTCATGTTCCCCTGGTATTAGGTTTTGGCTTAAGATTCACTAAGGGTGGACATAGAATATCCCTCATAGATAGGTGGAAACAATTGCTCCAGGAAATGCAATGCTTAAACTGTGGATGAAATATTAAGAATAATCAAAATACATGGAAATTATAGTCTACAGTTCGGCGGCCTTCCGGGCACCTTTATTTGCCTTCGACAGGCTGCCATTCGTTAGGCTCACGGGCGGAAACAGCACCCAAGTTTGCCGTCCCTCCAGCTTAGATCTTACATGCCTCACTCGGATCTCGCAACACAGCGCAGCCAGTATACCAGACATCGTAGCTCCCAGCAGCATTTCTTAGACTTCTCTTAATCTCCCATCCACTCTGATCCCGAGCAGTCTAGGGGCTCCCTCTTAGGCAGTGCTGTAGCTGGAGTATTTGCAGTCCGGCGCGACGATAGACGACGAGACATAGTCCTCCACTTCGCCGTCCAGGAAGCCCTTGCCTTCGGCCCTATCCACATCCACGGGGTGGCGAAGCAGCGCCGCTAAGTGCGAGTACTTAATCGCGCGCTGCAGCTGCTCCGGGGTATTCCTGAAAGTCTGCCCCAGCACGCCGTGCACTGCTGACGTCATCTTGACGTCGGACAGCTCGACATTGAAGTGAGCTTCCGCCTCGGTTGGAGTTTGCAGCAGCGGGTGCGCCACGCGCACGCGCACGTCGATTTCCCCCAGCCCCACCACGCGCACCTGAAACTGATCCACGTCGAAGGGCCCTTCCTTCTCCTCCGCGATTTTGGTTAGCACAAACCCGCTTTCCGTCGCGATCGATTCGCCGACGCTCGGCGGGCTCGTCGTCTTGCCGTCGATCTCGAGAAGCGAGAGGAAGCCGTTGTCTCCGCGCTCCTGCTGCTTGCCCTTGCGCGCAACCATGCGCAGCGTGTGGTTCGCGCCGTCGGGCGTCATCCACACCACGCCGACCTCCTTAATCCACGTGTGAAGCTCCGTGCTCGTTTCCTTGTTAGTCGATGCCGCCGACGCGGGAAGAGCGGGCGGGGCGCCCTGGTAACCGTTCAGATGCATATTCACGTGGAATCGACGGTCGGAGAAGAGGCAGAAAGACCGGTCGAGACGCCCGGTGAAATCGTAGTGCGTGCCGTGCGCGCCGGTCAGATGCGGGTCGTTTTCGACGAGCGCAGTGCCGTTGCAGAGCCCGCCGACGAAGCTGAGCGGGTAGTTAACCGCGTTCGCCGTCTGCGTCGCAGCGTCGCCCGCATTGGGGGTCTTGAAGGGGCCCGACGTTCCCGAGCCGCCGACCTTCTCCAGAAGATAACATTGAATGCGGTCGATAAAGCCCGTCACCTTGGCGTTTTCGCCAGCGAGACGCGCGCTGGAGAGAGGAAGAAAAACAGAAATAGAAGAAAGCACAACGGAATTGAGTTATTTCTGTCTCAAAACATCCAGCGGGAAAACCATTCCGTTCCATAGACGTGAAACATAAGTACTCCCCCCCCTAGGTTCGATAGAAACAATCATGAGTGAAATTACAGGATTTCAAGGAAGAGGCGGCGCTTACTTCTTGAACCAGTGCCACTGGTAGCAGTACGTGGAACGCGCGCAGGCGCGGCAGCACTCCTGCAGCGTGTCGCCATACACGCCCTTCACCACGTCGAAAATCGTCCCAACCTCCGTGTACCGCTCGAAGTTCACGGGGCCAGACCCGCGCTGGTGCTCAATGTATTGCCCGCCCTGGCTGTTGAACAGCCCCTGGTAGTTCCCGATGTACTTATAATTGGTGTACGTGGACTGGGAGATGGTGGCTGTAGCGAGGTTGTCTATGTAAGGGCAGACGTAACGGGTGTGGCATCCACCGGCGGGCATATTCGTTGCCGTGGCGGTGCGCAGTAGAGAAACGAGCGTGAGGAGAAGGGCGAGGATGCAAGGGAAAGCCATACTTGCCGCTCGATACAAAAGAAGCTTGTTGCTGTGAGAAGTGGAAGAGGGAAGAGGTGAGCTGGAACTGCGGAACAGGGTGAGAACTGTGGGATGGTTGAAGACTTTGTTGCGAGGCTCTTTATTTTACGTACTCGTGGACATGGCTGACTCTGGATTAGGCGGCACCAAAGCTGCTCTTCGCATAATCTCAAGCCTTTCCCCAGGTGGTGGCCAAATGAGGCCACTGGCGAATCGCAGATGTCAACCACATCACAAACCCGGTGCTTCAGTGTGTACCGTTCTATACCGTACCGTAACTCTGCAATACCCTGTGTTCCTCATACGCGGATACGCAGGATCGAGTCGCGAATTGGGTCTGTAAGGAGTGACGCTACGTGAGTGGTCGATTTTGCCATGCCACACGCGAAGCGCCCACTGGTTCCCTCAACCTGTTTGCTCAATCCCGAGTCACGCGATTGGGGAAGTGTGGTGGATGAGTGGATTCGCCAGATGGCATTTTCCAGCTTCCATCCTCCAGCTTGCTAACTGGTTCGTTCGAACAGTCCAGATCGCTGAGTACAGCGTATGCAGTGTATGAAATTGTAGCTAAATCCGTGTCTTCACTTTCAGCAGAATGACACAACCTAGGGATACTAATAGCGTGACAGCGTGCAATTAGTACCATGGAATTCTAAGAGAAAGGCACAAAAAAAAAACAGCTAACTACGTTGTCTTATGGATATGACACAATCGTATGTAACTTCTCCCCTGTTTTCGGCAAGGTTGAGGCGTCCAACTTTCATCCCCCATACCTTCCCCCCGTCGCCCACAAGCCCATTTCACTAGCCCAGGAAGGAAGCTTGGAAACTAATAAGGGTGAGAGGAGTTAGACCTACCTCCCCACTGCTCACTCCATCTATCGACAACCCCTACCTCCCCCCCGTCGCCCACATGCCCATTTCACTAACCCAGGAAGGAGACTTGGGAACCTTGAGGGGTGAGAAGGGGATAGATTCTGCCTCCACATCTGCATCTTCCTCCCCCTCCATTCCTCCCATTCCTTGCACTCCTCTCATTCCCAGTAACCCCATCACATTTGCGACCTCTCTATCCATGAAATCTCTACTTTCACTCATGCTAACGGGAATCACTCCCCTCTCGTTATAGTCACTCCTCCCATCCGTTTTGCTCCTGCGCATCGGCACAACACTGATGCTGTCACAATCATTACTGTCACCATCACCGTGAGCGAAACCACCACTACTACCAGCAGCAGCAGCAGCAGCAGCAGTGGCAGCAGCGACAGCAGCGGCGGCCTCGATCCTCCCTTCCCCGTCCCTGCTCCTCCTACCCGAGCCTGCCCAGCTGGTTCGGACCCAGCTGCTCACCGAGCCTGACAGGCGGCTCCCGGACGTACCGGACTGGGTTCGGGAGAACATGCCAGCCCACGTGGCCGAGAGGGAGGGGGAGGAAGAGCACGGGGGAGAGGAACCAGACACCTCAGGAGCGAAGTCGAAGAGTGAGTCCACCACACGGGGTAAAGGAGAGGGAAGCGGAGACTTTCCATCCCCACTCTTGAGCCGCCTCAGGTGTTTTTTCAGGGAGAAACGGCCGCTTCTGCTGTGGTTGCTGTTGCCACCCTCTGCATCAGACTCCGCTTGGGACTTTACCCGCTGCAACAAGCCACCCCCGCCACCGCCGCTGCTACTCTCAGCTCCGGACTCGGTGAACAGCCTGCTCGGGCCGTCCCGGCTCACATCCTGGTTGACCGACGCATCTCGGCTCAACGTGCCATTCTGTTTGATAGAACCATCTCGGCTCATGGAACCATACTGTTGTTTCAGAGAGCTTTCCCGGCTCGTGGCTGCATTGTGCTTGAGTGACCCATCGCAGCTCATCGTGCCACCACCACCGCCATCCAGACCCCACATATTCCCTCCTCTCCCATACGAGCCGTCTCTCGGTAATGCTGTTTCGAACAGGCGCAATGAGAATCCCCCCCCCAGCCACCCGTCTTGGCTCCCTCTTGGGATCGTTCTCTCTACAGCATCAGCCTCGGCTAGTTTGTCCCGGCCTGCGCTTGAGCTTCGGCCAAACAGCCTGTCTCTAAAGCCTCGCCGCTTGGTTCGGGGATCACCGCCCTCAGGTTCGGTCTCAGCCTCGGGCTCCTCCCAAACCTGAGGGTCGGGGGAGAGTGGCTGCGCCATGTCAAAGTGGTAAGCAGTTCGGGTAACATGCTCGAAATCGGTATGGGGGAGTAGTGGTGAAAAGGGGCGGATGTGGGTGTATCGAGGGGTGGAAGACTGGGAGGGCAATTGAGTGGGCTGGGTTCGGCTGCGACTCAAAGGGGGATACGCCATTTCTTCCTCCGATGAATTTGCTTTGCTCCCCTCTAATCCCCCTGACCCTTCCTCCTCTTCCGCTACCACTGCTTTTACTGACACTGCTTCGCACACCGCTCCTGCACTCGGTTTCAATCTACCCTCTCCCACGCTCCTACTCCTCCTCTCCACCCCCCTCCTTCGCTCTCCCCCCAACTCCCTCCCTGCTCCTCCCTCCCTTAACTCCCCATCTCTCGCCTCCTTCCCCCCACTCTCGCTACCCCTTGCGCTTGTGTCAACCTCTCCCCCCCTCTTACTCTCTGTAGCTCGCCTGGCCTCGGCTCTCTCTCGCGCGCGTCTCTTCCTCATGGCCCGAATTTCCTGCTCCATTTCCTTTAGTGCCGCCCTCTCCCCTCCCTCTTGCTCCTCTTCCCCTCCCTCTTGCCGCTTGTTACTCTTCCCGGGCTCCCCCCTTTCCGGCTGCACTCCCTGCCTCTGCACCTCCTCAAGCCCCTGCCCACTTCCCCTCCCCTCTTCTCCCCCCGTTCCTTTCATCCTCTCTCTCGTCTCCACCTCCTCTCTCACTCCCAATTTGCCCGATTGACCCATCCCCTTTCGCCTCTCTTTCCCCCCATCCTCTTTCCTCTCTGACTTGGGCTGCATCGGCTCAAGCGCCCCTTTTGCCCACTCCCTTTCCATTAAACTTGAGCCTCTAGGGGTGCGCGGCACGCCAGAGGCTGCCTTCCTAAGAACTCTAGGGGGGGCTTGAAGCGCCTCAACAGCCCATTCTCTCTCCATAATGCTTGAGCCCCTAGGGGTGCGTGGTTGGGCAGAGACAGTCCTCTGAAGCTGACGCTGCTGCATTTTCTGCTGCCTTTTTTCGGAAAAGGAATCAGCAGCCTGAATGCACAAGCCCTCCTGATGCTGCGGTGCCTCCTCATACTTCTCACCTCCTCCTCCCCTTTCTCTATCAGGAGGCGTTGCGGCTTCAGCTGTTTTGCTTTCGCTCCCAGCATCTGCAGCCGATGCTGCTATTTCCCCTCCGGCACTCAACGCTGTAGCAGCAGCCGAAGCTGCTTCTCGTGCCGCAGCCCTGGCTGCTGCTCGTTCTCTCAGACTCATGGATCGCTGCAGTAACAACCGCACCCGAGCATGCTGTTGCCCCTCCTCCTGCTCCTGCTTTCCCCCCTGCCCCGGCTGCTGCCCCTGCTGCCATGAAAGGTGTTGCTCCGTCTCTTGCCCTTGTTGGTACTGCCATTGCTCCTCTTGTTCCTGCTGCTTTGCCTGCTCCTGCCTCTGTTGCTGATGCTGCTTCTGCTGCTGCCGCTGCTGCAGAGACCAAGCCTCCATGCGGCAACTCAGGTTCCCACCCATCGAGACCGCATGCCTCAACTCAAAACGCTCCACCTCCTCTCCTTCTCCCAGAGCCCTCACCTGCCGCTTCCCTCTACCCTGCTGCACCTTATTCTCTGAACCTGACCGACGCAGCCGCTGGCCCAACTCAGAACCCGCCCGCAATGCTGATGTGGCGTCACACACATGTAACGCTGATGTGGCATCACCAACATGTACTGCTGACGTGGCGTCACTAGCACTCAGATCCTCAAACACGCTGCGTGCGGGCTTAAGCGCACCACTGCCTTTTCTCAGCCCTCTGGGTGTGGGGGCAGTTGATACAGACCCGACGTTCTGACATCTGGCTGTGGACCCTTTGGGGGTGGGAGGTGTGAGGGTCTGAGTCGACTCAAAAGCTGAAGCCGCACGGCTGCTTCTTCTAGAGCCTCTGGGAGTGGGAGGTGTGAGGTTAGAACCTTTTGCTCTAGAACCCCGAGGTGTGGGAGCACTGGACTGAAACAGCCCCCCTCCTTCATGCCCTATCAGGCCCTCCTGATCCCCAAACACATCCCACGCGCTCAGCCTCGGCTTCCTCCCCCTCTCCCTCACGCTGCCCCCTCGGCTCGAGCCAGTCCCCACACTGGTGGTGGTGGCGTGCTGCTGAGAGGAGTACTCAATGGTAACAAGGCGTTCGGTGGAGGAGGTTCGGGCTCGGCGCATGCAGTACCGTCCCCCGCTTCTCGCGCTGGTGCTATCCACCGGGCTTTGGTCAGTCTGCGCTTGCTTCTGCTGCTGCCCCTGCTGCTGCTGCTGCCGCCGCCTTGGTGCCTCCCCTTGCTCGATCCTTCCTCCCATAGTTTCCGCTCGCCTCATCTCCCCTCCCTGCTCCTCTCCCTTCCCAGCCACCTCAGACGCCACGGGTCCTTCAGCAGGGGGGGAAGCGTGAGAGGTGAGCCGCTCAACAGACGAGGTTCGGGATCGGCGCATGTGGTAGCTCCTCCCACTTCTTCTTACTGCCGCCCCACCTGCACCTGCGGGGTTTTCTAACCCGCTTTGCTCCTCTCCCTTCCCAACCACCTCATAAGCCACGGGTCCTTCGGTAGGAGAGGTGTGAGAGGCGAGCCGCTCAACAGACGAGGTTCGGGATCGGCGCATGTGATAGCTCCTGCAACTGCCCCTAACTGCAACATCTGCAGCACCCGCAGCACCTGCCTCAATGTCTTTCAAGCGTTGAGCGGTCTGCACTTGCACCTGCTGCCCCTGCTGCTGCCCCTGCTGCTGCCGCTGCTGCTGCTGCTGCTGCTGCTGCCCCTGTTGCCAATGCAACCCCTGCTGCTGCTGCTGCCCCTGCTGCTGCTGTTGTCGTCGTGCCTCCCCTTGCTCGACCCGCCCTCGCATCGTTTCTACTCGCCTCATCTCCAACCCATGCCCTTCGCCCACTCCGTCCCCCACAAGCACCCTCAGCATCTCATTCAGCTCAGAGCCACTCCTGACCCTCCCTCTCATTCCCCCGAGCCCCCCCATCCCCCCCATTCCTCCCATCCGATCCCCCCCTTTCACCATCACCTCTCTGTGCCCCGTGTCAGCCCCTCCTCCCCACCTCTCTCCTCGTCTCATCACCACTACTCTCTCCCCACCCAACCCCTCCACACCCCCTTCGACCGTTTCACTCAGCTCAGACCCACTCCCCCCCCTCACTCTCACACCCCTCACACAGGCCGTTCCTTCGTCCGTCTCTCCATGCCTCATCCCCACACCCTCTCTACGACCTATCCCCTCGCCCTGCTGCTTCCTCACTCCATCCGTCACCTGCCCCTCGCCCAATTGATCAAATGTATTCCTCTCACCCATTCTAGCTAGCTCAAATACTATTTCTCCTTGCTTTATCACCGCTCCGTGCTCCTCACTCACTCCAGGCATCCCCCGCACCTCGCCCATTTTATCCAGCTCAAACCCACTTCTCAACCTCGCTCTCATTCCTCCCATCCCCCTCTCTCCTCTCATCCCACTCTTGCCCCTCAGCGTCTCAGCTCGCCTCATTTCCACACTCTCTCCTGTGCTTATCTCCCCACACTCCTCTGCTCGCATCCCCCCACTCTTCCCTCCTGTCATCCCGGCATGATTTGACGAATCACCTATGCTAGGTTTGTGCCTCCCTCTAAGCGTCTCCACTCGTCTCATCCCCACTCCCTGCTGCTCTGAAGGATCCACTGTAGCATCCCCTTGGGAGGGTAGGGGTCTCCCCCTAAGCGTCTCGGCGCGTCTCATCCCCACTCCCTGCTGCTCCAACGGATCCACTATAGCATCCCCTTGGGAGGGTAGGGGCCTCCCCCTAAGCGTCTCGGCGCGACTCATCTCCACTCCCTGCTGCCCCGAAGGATCCACTGTAGACTTCCCAAGGGTGGCTCGGGGCCTCCCTCTAAGTGTTTCCACTCGTCTCATCCCCAACCCCTGCTGCTGCTCCTGTACTGAAGGATCCGCTACACTGGATTTGGCCCTTCCTCCTCTAAGTGTTTCCGCTTGTCTCATCCCCGACCCCTGCTGCTCCTCCTGAGCCGTAAGCTCTACTGCACTGGATTTGGGCCTTCCTCTAAGCGTTTCCGCTCGTCTCATTCCCAAAACCGGCTCTTGCGTTGCAAGGACATCCGCACCCGAAGGAGACACACTAGAGCAACGCCTCCCTCTGCTCGTTCCCTCCTGTTGCTTAGCAAAGCACCGCTCCTGTAACCCTGCAGCGCCAACATCAGATTGTGCTCTTCCCCTAAGCGTTTCCGCTCGTCTCATCCCCAAGCCCGAACCTTCTGCAGCAACAGCCACGTCCGCACCGGAAGGAGACGCACCGGATTGAGCATCAGATTGAGCTCTTCCCCTAAGCGTTTCCACGCGCCTCATGCCATACAGCTGCTCCTGAAGTAAAGGCTTTTCCGCATATGATTTAGACCGGCCTCTAAGTGTTTCTGCCCGCCTCATACCAACAGGTTGTTGCTCCTGATGTCCCGGCTGCCCCAGAAAAGCCATAGGATCTGCTTGGTCCGACCTAGACCGTGCTCTCAGCGTCTCTACCCGCCTCATGCCAATGAGCTGCTGCTGCTGCTGCTGCTGCTGCTCGGCATGTGTCGGCTCTTCCACGACACGCACAGACTCTGCTTGGTCCGACCTAGATCGCCCTCTCAGTGTTCCCACCTGCTTCATGACGCCACTCGCCTCGTTCTGAGTCGAGAAATCCGCTGAATCAGACCTCGGCCGTCCCCTAAGCGTCTCCGCTCGTCTCATGGTGATCGGTTCCTGCAGCTGATCCGCATTATTCTTCCTCGGCCGTCCCCTAAGCGTCTCCGCTCGTCTCATGGTGATCGGTTCCTGCAGCTGATCCGCATTATTCTTCCTCGGCCGTCCCCTAAGCGTCTCCGCTCGTCTCATGGTGATCGGTTCCTGCAGCTGATCCGCATTATTCTTCCTCGGTCGTCCTCTAAGCGTCTCGGCTCGTCTCATAGAGATAGCCTGGCCCTGCCCTGACGCCAACGCCTCCGCGCGCTGCTGTGACTCAAAGGGTCCGGAACTGCTTTCTTCAACAAGTGACCTGGAGCGTGCTCGCAGCGTCTCTGCACTTTGCGTCAACACAGGAAAGCGACTCTCAGCAGAAGTGGCAGTTGACGCAGCAGCAGCGGCGGCAGCAACAGCAGCAGCATTAGTACTAGCGAAAGGGCCCGAGCAGCAGTCCTCCACTAGTGATCGGGACCGTGCTCTCAGCGTCTCTGCCCGCCGCATGACTATAGGCGAACCACCAGCAGCAGAACCAGCAGCAGCACCACCACCACCACCAAGAGGCTGCTGCGGCAACTCAGTCCAAGCAGAACTGTGGTCGCCCACAAGTGATCTGGAACGGCCTCTCATCGTCTCTGCCCTCCGCATGGCCAGAGGCGCACCAGCAGCAGGCTTGAGAGCAGGAGGTTTGGCAGCAAAGGATGGATGAAACGCCACTCCAGCAGCAGCAGCACTGTTGGCTGTTACCACCCGAGTGGTAACCCCCTCTACACCGTGATAGCTGTTGGATTTACGCTGGACAACTCTTGACTTCCCTGCTTTTGCAACCTGCCCCTGCTGCTGCTGCTGCTGCTGCTGCTGATGGTGCTGGTGCTGCAAATGCCCCTGCATTTCCAGACCCTTTCTCTCCATACTCCCTTCTCTCTCCCCCATTATCACTACCCTCTCGCTCTCCACCTCTCCTCCTCCCGCGCTCTCCTTGATTTTAGAGGCACTCTTGCTTTCCCTAATACCAGTAACAGAGTAGCCAGGGCTCCGATCCAAGCTGCTTTGGTCCGGGGACTCGGGCTCGGCAATCCCCCAACCTGGACCACTGGTCTGGTTTGGAGTTGCAGGTACGGAGGCTCCCGAACGTGGGTTCTTGGATCGGACGAGGGGAGAGCGAGGTGGGAGCCTGTGGGACGCTGGAAGGGGAGAGATGCTGGCTTGAGCAGACAGGGGCCTGCAGGGGATGTTATTATGGGGGGTTTGGTTGCGAAGGAAGGCGGGGGAGGGGGGAGAGGGAGGGGGGAGGGGGGGGGAGGAGGGGGGAGAGGAGAAGAAAGGGGTGCGGAGAGGGAAGAAAGTACAGGGGTTGAGTAGAGGGGAGTGCGAGGTGGGAGCCTGTGGGACGTTGGAAGGGGAGAGATGCTGGCTTGAGAATACAGGGGCCTGCAGGGGGAAGGGGGGGGGTGGCAGGAGGGGGCGTGGGTGGGGGGGAGAAAGGAAAGGAGAGAGGGGGGAGGAATGCGCGAGGTGGGAGCCTGTGGGACGTTGGAAGGGGGAGATCCAATCTTGAGAAGACAGGAGATGGATGCGCGTGTGGGGTGAGGGGGGGAGAGGACGGGGGAGAGGAGGGGGGAGAGGACGGGGGAGAGGAGGGGGAGAGGAAGGGGGAGAGGACGGGGGAGAGGAGGAGGGAGAGGAGGAGGGAGAGGAGGGGAGAGAGGAGGGGGGAGAGGACGGGGGAGAGGAGGGGGGAGAGGACGGGGGAGAGGAGGGGGAGAGGAGGAGGGAGAGGAGGAGGGAGAGGAGGAGGGAGAGGAGGGGGAGAGGAGGGGGAAGAGGAGGGGGGAGAGTGGAGGAGTGGGAGAGGGAAAAAAGGAAGGGGTAAAAGGGAGGGGTGGGCGAGGTGGGAGCCTGTGGGATGGTGGAAGGGGAGAGATGCTGCCCAACCAGCTGCTGCCACGTATTGACACAATGGCACCTATCTGGTGGTCCATTAAATCCCCAGGGACTCACACGGAGTATTCCTCAATATCGCCAGCATCTAGCCCTTGAGACCGCCGCCGCCTCTCGCGCTCCTCATTCCCCCTCCCACTCCCACTACACCCGCCCCCATCCAATCCTCTCCCACCACTTCCCTCCGACTCTCTCCCGCCACTTCCCTCTGAGTCTCTCCCACTCTCCGCAGACCCTTCCTCCACTGCCCTCCCATCAGGCCACTCCCCATGCCATTCCCCATGCCCTTCCGCCACCCCCCTACCCCCCTCCTCTCCCCCGCCCTCCCCCAGAAACTCTGCCACGTGCCACTCCCGCCATGTGGGCGAGCAAAACTCCGCATCCTCCTCCTCCTCCCCTCCTTCCTCCTCCTCTTCCTCCTCTCCCTCGTCCGCTCTTCCCATCACCCGGTCCCCTCTCCAGCCTTCCCACCCATCACCACTCCATCCCCCCTCCTCCTCCCTGCGCCACCCCTCCTCAACCTCTATCCCCTCCTCCCCAAATTCTATCCGATCCCAACTCAAGGTCTGCTGAGTCCCCGCCTCAGAAAACCCCTCCTCCCCAAACTCTATCCGATCCCAGCTCATGCCACAGCTAAGCCCTGGGGAGGGCACTTCTAGAGATAGCACCTGCGCGTTTGGGACCGGCCGGTCAATAGATAACACCTGCACCCTTCTCGTGGATTCCCCCCCAGATAGCACCTGCGCCCTCGGGACAGGCCTGTCAATAGATAACACCTGTGGCGGATGGTGAGTCACCTCGAGAGATAGCACCTGCGCTCCCCCTCCTTCCCCTGGGCTCACCACCCCACCACCTCTCCGTCTAGACCTACCTGCACCAGTTCCACCTCCCCCTGGGCTGACACCTGCACCACTTCCCCCTCCCCTCGGGCTGACATCTGCACCAGTTTCCCCTCCCCCTGGGCTCACCACCCCACCAACTCCCCCTGTCCCCGGACTCGCCCCTCCCCCTCCCCTTCCCCTTGGACTAGACCCCCCGCCTCCCCCTCCCCCTCCCCCTCCCCCTCCCCTCCCCCCGGACTGACCACAGCAGCCCCTACAGAGGGAGTAGGCGGGCGCCCCCCCCTCCTCCCCGTCCCCCTGCCCCCTTTCCGCCCGGGGGTGGCCACAGCAGCAGCAGTGCCTGGGGCTCTGGGGGTGGTAACCGCCGTGGGGGTTAGGGGCACCATGCGATTGCGCATGGTGTGAGATTTGCGCGTGAAAAACGCCGATGCGACTATCCCTGCTGCTACCGCGTCTGATGGTGACAGGTCAGCTCCTGTTGCTGCAGCCACGTCAGCAGCCACGTCAGCATCTGAGGGATTTTGAGATTTTGAGATTCTGTGCCGATTCCTCTCTCTTCCTCTCTCTCTTGTTCCCCCCCCCTGACTGTTGCAATCGCCGCCAAAAGACTCGGTTCGGAAGACGGTGCTGCCGAACGTGCTGCCGAAGCTGTCGGGTGGGCTCGGGAAGGAAACAACGACTCGTCCGGACAAGGTTTGGGACTTCCGAGCCTGGAACGCTGCCTTGACCGCCGCCATTCCCGCCCCCGCCTCCCCCTCTGCTTCCCCCTCCGCTTCCCCCTCCGCTTCCCCCTCCGCTTCCCCCTCTGCTTCCGCCTCTAGGTCAGCGCTAGCCCTCCCCGAGGCACTACTGGCTGTAGCACCGCCGCTCCCCTCTCCCTCCCACCCCCGCAGCTCCATCGACGCGCTGCTGGCTGTAGCCGCGCGCACGAACCGCCGCCTGTGGCCCCCTGACCGGCTGTAGCGCGGCGCGTTGGGACTCCTTGCTACAACCGTCGCGGCCGCGCTGCTGCTAGAACTCCTCGCTTCAGCCGCCGCGGTTGTAGCAGCGTCACCTGAGACAGAGGCGGCCGCGCTAAAGCTCCTGGCTACAGCCGCCGCGGCTGTAGCTGCGGCGCCTGTGGGGGAGACAGAAGCAACAGCGGCGCCGGCGCGCGCTCTGGCAGCGACCCCGTTTGTGGCAGCCGCGTTTGTGGCAGATCCGTTTGTCGTAGTAATCTTGGGCGCCTGACTAACGGCGGTATCTGTAACGTCACAGTCAGTTGTCGACCCCGCGCTAGCAACAGAAGCACCACTAACGCAGACGTCACTAACGGAGACGCCACTAACGGAGACAGTAGGTGCAGACTGACGCGCCTGTTGTGATAGCCTCGTTGTCCCAGCGCCAATCACATTCTCCAGCAACGGATCGCCGCCGTCCCTTTCTGTCCCCGCTCCATCGCCACCGTCCGCTTCATCCACCCAATTAGCTAGTTTTCCCGCTTCCGCGGCCTCCCACACGTTTTTAATCGGCGGCTCGGGGGCATCTTCAGAACCCGCGTTGGCGCTCGCTTTCTGTTGCGCTTGCTGCTTCCGCCGAAATACCTGCCCCTTCCGCGCATCCCCTTTCCGCACCCCCTGCGCCGATCCTTGCGCTCCTCCGCGTACCTTCCCGTGTCCCGCCTTCACTTGACCGTTCCGCGGCACCTCCGCCTGTTGCGCCTGCGTTTGCGCGTCCCCCTGCTGCGCCTGCGCGCCTTGCCAGAGCGAGAGTTGGCGCACCCACTCCAGGTGGTGCGGGGACTTGGGGCGCAGCGGCGGAGGACCCTCGCGGAGCTTCTGCTCCACCGGCGGCGACTTGCGCTGCTCCGCGGGGGTGTTGCGCGGCTGGCCCGGGGGGGACTTGCGCGAGAGGAACGAGGGGAGCGAAGTCTTCCGCTCGAGGAGGGAGAGCGGGCGGGCTGGCGCGGGGCCGACGGAAGAACACGGGGGGATCGCGGGGGGGTGGGCGCATTCCGCGAGAGCTAGCGCGCGCTCCTCCTTGCTGCTGCTGCGGAGCAACGGCAGCTGCGAGATGCGAGGCATGGCTGACGCCTAGCCGGCAACTGACCGGCAGCTAACCAAGGAATTACCGGCGGATGCTAAGAGCGGCCGTCAGCGACAATGTTAGCCGCGGCGACGTTCGCCCGTGGCTTTGCCTGTGATAGTCCCGTCACTTCTCTCCCCGCAACTGTCACGCTGAGTGCCATCGCCGTCGCGAAAAGAGAGAGGGCGACGTTACCAGTTTCGCAAGCAGTCGCTGACAATTGAGTGCCTGGTGTGTTTTTTTTTCTTACACACGCCTCGCAAGGAGGCTCAGGGATGTCGCGGTCCGGAACCACTTACGACCTAAACCGGCGGTTCCTTGCACGTGAAACCGATAGGATTAGGGCCATCAACGCACTTCAGGAATTCGCCTGAACAAAAGGCAAACCGTCGCCTTCCTTTGGTAATTAGCACATTACTGTAGCACCAGAGACGTCGCGGCCATCACACGGATGCAACTGACACTTCTAACTTACGCTCCATACCAGAATATACTACTTCGACAGTCCCTGCTAAGTCCTAGAACTAGCGCACCCTGCCATGATCTCTAAGGACGCGCTACATTGCGTCTGGTTCTCTGATCATTTTCCAACCTTGGCACTGTAGAAAATTGGTAACCCGACAGATACAGTGCCTCGAAATAGTCATGTAGCAGATCGGAGGGGAGGATCATTTTCGAAACAAAACCGGGCATCAATCCCATGTCCAAAACACTAACGATCCTCCTCGACAAAGTGGCAGATCCCCCCACCCCAAATTCCACGAATTCAGAAGGGCTTCGCCAACTCGCCATTGCGAAAAAATGACAAGGCAAATCCTCCTGTCTCGCGCCGCACTGAAGTGTCTGATGGAAATTGTGAAGGTGTAGGGAGGGTTGCTAGGTTTCGACGAACTTTTCTGCGAAAATCCAAGCTGTCCAGCTGCAAATCGATACTCGACATCGAAAGCTGCACATCTGGAACATGCCTATGTCGCGTACAAGATCGATATTGGAGATCAATTTTATTGAGTCAGAATCGAAAGCATACAATCGAGATTTTTGCCACGATCCTCCTTCCTAAACGGACGCAATGTAGCACGCCCTAAACGACAGATGAACATGATCAGTGAGAACAGAAGCCCTCTGATGCCCTCAGGAAGGAAGCAACAGCTAAAAGCGAAGCGAAGAGAGATGTATACAGTACAGTAACAGGAGAACAGAATCGAATGAAAGTTCGTCCTTCCTTTTGGTCCTCCCCCTCCATGCCTGTCATGCGAACGGGCCGCATTACTGGGGGGAATCAAGTTCTTAGTTCGCGTACAACGGTTTTGTTCGGTTCGCTGCGTTTCCAAGAGAGAGGTTGAGTGTACTACCGTATTAAATCGTGAGGAAACCAACTGTACCACGCTCGAAGAACAATTGACGAATGCTGCCTGGGCACACCCCAGAGGGTACACTGTTTCGAGTTGCTGGGGGACAGCGACCCAGAAGGTACTACAGTGTACATTCACCATATGGGTGCGTCGCGATTGCGGTTGGGTGAGATGCAATTTTATCTAGAAGGTTCAAATAACGATTAGAAACGGTTGAGCAGGGTATTGAACGGGAAACGTACGTGCGGGCATACGTGATGCTTGTCCCTGGCAATTTTGTGCGAAGGGCGGGTACAGTTCGTATATCCGTACAGTACTGAGACTCTGGACATAAGGGAGTGGTGCAGCCGTTCCGTGCAAATCAAATGTCCGGACGGAAGTACGAAACAAGGTCAATATACGGGCGTTTCTGAATTCACGACGGGTTGACGAACTTCAAGAATCCAGTATCTTGCAAAGTTCAGACGAAGCAAGGTCAATCATATGGTTCGAGTGGAAAGGTACATCTGAAAACTGTACAGAAAAGTTGCACCTTCACAGTGAAGGTGTCGGGAGAAGAACATACTACGCAGAACATACTAAGCGTGTCGGGCAGTCCAAACATTTCACCTGTACAGTGGTATTGCACTGACACGCACGACATGGATTCTGTACAGCACCACGCTGCAGAACACCAACCACCTTCTGTTTTTTTCTGCTTGCGAATTTACAGGCTGTTGGCGAAGGCTTTTCCGATCGCAGCGAATCAGCAGCTGCCAAACCGTCAACACCACCAAACCCAGTTTCATGGTCTGCTTCCGTGGCAAAGACAACCGCACCCCACACTACACCTCCTCTTGCTTTGGGGAACCCGAATCTGCAGCGCGGCTTGCGACAGCAACGTGAGAGGTCAGAAGGTGGGGTAAAAGTGACCGAAAGGTGAAAGTTAGTAAGGGAGTGTCATCATACCGTGTGGCATTGCCTGTATTTTTCGCCAAGTGGGTGGTAACACCATTTTTGCCAACTCTGGTAACTCGCTGCCATGCGAGTACTTTAGAAGCAAATCATGTTTACCACTCATTGCTCTTTTTTTTTTTACTCGAAACGTTCCATATAGGGCTGATGGTTACAACAGCAGGCTACGCGGCATGAGTGTCCAGCAAGCCAAAGCACAACCACCAACGAACCAACCCAACCAAAATCAACCTAGCCTCTGACCACACTAACCCTGTGGATCACTGCCCGCTCGACAAGTACGAAACTCATCCAGGGTCAACCCCACTGTCCCAAAAGCACAAAGCGTCCTACAAGGACAGCTATAGGGGGACACTTAGGTCCACGATATAGGCATACCAGAGGCACAGACATAGAAGCCACACGTAGAGGCACGGAAGACACAACCATGGAACACGACGCTTTGGAGGCACAGAACGACGGCACGCAGAGAAAAGGATGAACTGAGCGAGCGCAAGAGGGAGTGGGCAGACTTGGGAAATTACGCGGCAGAGAACATCCCAAAATTCCTGAAACCCATTCTGCCCTTTGGAGTGTGGGACGCATGTAAGTAACCTCACCCCAGACTACCCAAAGTTCCACACAAGACCCCTCGGGGTTACCTGCGGGTAGTGGCGACGAGCACGACACTCGCGAAATGTTTGTCAATTGTCGCGTGGGGTCCGACCAGCCAATAGGGCGCAAGCTCAGTTGGACCAAGTCGCTAGCCGAGCCTGAGCCCTCAGACTAGACTTGACCCGAGAAGCGAATTTTGTGTAGAAGCGTGTCATATGATGGACAGAACAAGAAAATGACGTTTGTCGTTTGACGAAACGTATATAACGGGGTTTGAAAGTGATGGGTGAGCCTCGACTGGTTGACCAATGAATGCATCGTTGGGTTTATACCCATTGGTCGATTTCTCAACTTATCCAAGTCCGAGCGAACCTCCTGCCTTCGTGTGTACACCCAAAAATTTGTAGGGCATGCTCGGCGTCTTGGGATTCGAGTACAGAATACTCGGTACCATCAGCTCTCGACACATGTGATGTGAAACAGCTTCCTTTAGTATCTCTTTTGGTACGAAGTTTTGCCTCCATTTGGCTCACTGGATACGACCCAGATAACAACACCTAACAGTGACAACGAATCCCAATCACACATATACTATAGACTCAACGCAAAACCCGTCAACTTTCACAGTTTGTCCCTCATGCTTGTCGACGTTTTCCCGCACGAGCATTTTCTTTAGACAGAAATGCTCCTTGCGCTGCGTAGTATGTTCTTCTCAGCTACCTAAACTATTGCAACTCTCTAGTCCTCGGTATCGCCATGTATTTTCCCCCATTCTCTTCCTCGTGTGTGCCTGTTGTTTCTGTTCGGGTTTTCTATTCCTATGAGCATAATCTTTTTCCACCTTCCTCCTATACTTTCCCTCCTTTCCGTTCCCCTAGGCCTTTCGCGCATCTTCTCGCGGTGCACGTTGGGCGCGTAAGCTTCTTGCGATGCACGTTGGGCGGGACGCACGAGCTACTCGCGATGCACGACAAGCGGGATGTGTGAGCTTCTCGCGGTGCTCGCCGCGCGTCTCTGTCAAGCTCAAGTGGCTCCTCGCCGTATTCAGGTATGGTTGTAGCACTTTCTCATTGCCCCCCTTGTGTCCGGATCTTACTCGTCATTCCCCCCCCACCCCCACCCCCCCCGCCCATCCTCCTTGCGGCCTTCTTGCCGCACTCTGTTTCCCCCCAGCTTTGACTGGCACCTTGTTCCATGCTCTTTACCTTATAGCCTTTGTCTCCCCTCCTTTCCTCGCCATCCTCATTGTACCCCCCTCCCTTTCCCCTCTCCCATCCCCCCCCCCCCCCCATCCCCTCCCTGTATAGCAGGTCTTCGTTCGTTGGTAATTTTGTGCAACTGCCATGGGGTAAGTGGACGTCTGCATGGAATTGCTTTAAAACCCGCGGCCCAAATTGTTCAAACGCACTGCGTATGAAGTTTGACCCTCAGGCTGTACGAAATACGCTGGAAAATCGCGAGGGCGTTTACTCTCGCAAATTCAACGCTTGTCGTAAACTGTCAGATTTACAAACACACAATTTGATGGATAAGATTACCTTTCGACTGACTGGGGGAAGTGCTAGGCTTACACGCCGTCAGATGAAAATCTAGAAAAACAGTACGGTTGAGAAACGCTCGGCCCCTGGTGTTCCAAATTACATTCCGCACTGAACTTGATAGGCACCCCTGAGTGACGAGAGTCTCGTTACCCCCAATACACCCATGAAAATGCAACTTTCAAACGCATTGCGTTTGAAGGTCGCGCCTCGCAATTTGAGCCGCGGGCTTTAAACCCAGACTTACACGGGCCTGTGCAAGGGTGGATGCAGGCCGCTCTTTCACACCTGATATTGTGCTTGACAATGTTCGTGTGTGCAGCGAACGGCTACCAGCCAGAAGGCCATGCAGCAGCGGTGCTTGTGTAGGCTAGGAAAGAGGTGCTGGTGGTATGCGTAGGCAAGCTTAGCTAATACGCCAAGTTGGCGTTAGGAGAGGGAATCTGCTCAAAACTCTAGGTAATTGCAGCTAAATTAACCACCTTGTTTTGCATGCTTTGCATTGTGATAAAACTGATTGTAATGACGATAATCTAAGCTTTTCTAACAATTATATGTGCGTAATAAAGAGTTTTACAACGCCTCGAAACGAAGTTGCCCTCAATGCTACAGTGAAGTCATAAATACAGGCATGCCCGTTAATGTAATGGTTGTGCTACTATCGAGGTAAGTTGTTAAACAGTTGATATGTTGAGTGTAGAAATATTTCGTATCGGGGCGCCAGTGACGAGGATCGAGTGTGCTATTGTTTTGCGCATAAGGGCCATCATGTTCTCGCGCAAGTGTACTCCTTAACCACAAACGCCTTCACAGTTTGACGAGGATAAGAACCCATCAAAAGGTTTACGTCACGTTCCCCCCAACACACCCGAAGGTGACAAGTTGGTGTCGCGAGGGTGACATCACGAGGGAATCCCGAGGGTTACCTCGAAAGGCATTCTGGCCGCTGGTTTTCCCGAGGTAACCCAGTCGGAAGCCCCAGGGTTACCCCGAGGCGCGAAACCCCAAGGTCACTTGTGGTAGTCTTGGGGGTAACATTTTGCCACTCTAATTTTTGGGTTGAATTTGTTCGGCAATGGAGTA